CACACCTGCCTGCTTTCCTAATGCTCTGTTCTGTGCGGGTAACACAAGGCATGGGAGATGCCTCTTTACCTTAAGCGAAAACATATCATTCAGTTCAAGCTCTCTTTGGTGTATTACTCCACACACTGATCCAAAGGATGGCCTTCACTGTGTTTTATTGCGGCGCGATGAGACAAGGAGGAATGCCTGCCCTTGGGTGAGACAGCTAATAAATATTACAACCAACTGGCCATGCCTTGGGAAGCCACAGAGCTCTAACTTAAATAAAGCCAGTCATTTAGGAGAGGAATTAGTAGTCTTTCAAATAAGGACTGGCCTTCTTTCCTAAAGAAAGGATTAGTCTTGGTTTAGCAACAGCCCATGAGACACTTTCTCCCAGAGCTGCAGCTGATCTGCCCGAGTTGCACAGGAACGAGGTACAGAGCTCCAGGCTCAGCAGGTCCAGCACCAGCATCCTTGAGCCACTATCCACCACTGGGTGCCTTGACTCCCCTCTCCCAGCCCTGCTGCACATTGGTGATATCTGCCCAGAGAGTGCGAAAACGTTCAATTCGCCTAGCAGGTAAACAAATACATTGGCAGAGTCCTTAGAGAAGCTAAAATACAGGAAGGAAGTTTCTTCACTGCTTGGCCTCACTGAATTGATAGACCAGGAGTTAGAGAAGACCTTCCATGCTCTGGATAAGGAGCGGCAAGGCACAGGAATTGAAATCTGGGAGAGAGACCTTCATATATTAAACAGAAACCACCAAAATCAAGATGCTGAAGTGTGGGGAGGACAGACAAGTCAGAGACAGACGTACATGTTGTTTTATCTAGACAGCACAGGATACACTGAACTAAAATGGAGACAAATGGCTGCAGGAAATGGACACGCACACACAAAAAGCAGCTCCACAAAAAACAATATCCTGCAAAAAGATCATGTCTTCCTGCACAGAGCAGCTAGGCTGCAGGAATGTGCAGCTGAGAAGGGACAGGAGAGTCTGTCAGGAGCCTCCTGAATTAGAGAGGCTTAAAACATGCAGGCTTAGCATGTGGGCTGAATACAGCGCCAGCACAAGCACCCAGCGGGGTGGGGGCTCAGCCAGGCCTACAGCAGCAACCTAACCGTGATGAGGATGTGGGAAAGGGACACAGGAACACCAAGCTAGAAGGGGACAGACCCTTCTGCTCTCCTCCCCATACACCTCTTCATCTCCAAGGACCTGGCATATTAATGTCTCTTTTCCTAAGGTAACACAATTTATGTGATTGTGCTGTCTCATCCTCCGATTGCTTGTGAAGCCCCTGAGTGACTTCAGCTTCTCCTTCTGCCAAGCTCGGCTCTTAAGAACATCAAATTCCTACCAGCTTTGAAGGGAAAGCGAAATCCCGCAGCGAGCAGGGAGGGGAGCCACGTTAGTGCCTCTGTTAAGGAAAGGACTGAGGCTGTCCTACATGGCTGCTGGTTATCCATCCAGCAAACGCGCACGCGCACACATTTCCCCATGCAGGGGCAGTCAGGGCACACCATGTCTCCAGCTAGCTAATATTTAGGGGATATGAGAGAGAGGAAACACAACGGGTAGATATCAGAGTACTTGCAACAAGGGCAGGTACGAATGAAGTCGGGCTTCATTGAACTTCTTGTTCAAAAAGCAGTCCGTTCCTTACCTAGGTTACGAGAGTAACCTAAAACAAGGGTTTACACCAAGGACTTTCTCTTTTCTCCATGGGTATCACAAGGTGTCAGCTCTGCTGTGTGAAAAGGAAACAGAACAGCCCTAGGGTAACGGCACTGGCACAACACTCAAATTAATTTTGGTTCAGGTCCCAGTTTTACTATTGGCATCCAGACACATTTGCTGGTTCTGTGTCCCCTTTTCACCTCTGATGGGATAGGCTCCTCTCCCAGCAGGGACCACCCCTCCATCACACCTGGCACAGGTCTTCACCAGGCAACTCAAATCATGCAGACACACAACCAAGATAAAAGGGGCAGAACTGACCTCCTGGATTACTGAAACCAAGCCCAAGACAGGCATTACTGGACAAAGAAACTCTGACCACTAACCAGCAAGAGCCAAGTCCCTGTTTGCTACCTTAATGCACTATTCCCACATCACAGGGCTTGCGGGATCCTGGAGTTTGCCTGCTTTCAGCGTATCATATGTCCCTTCACCCCCTCTGACTGCTCAGTCCAGGACGCATGGAAGGCTGGCTGCCTCCCACCTCCCCCCCCCAGGGAACTTTCCACACTTTTCCAGAAAGAGCCACTGACTAGAGGAGCCCTATTAGATTTCTCCTACTTTTGAAGTTGTTTTTTCCCTTCGAGCTGATGATGACCTACATAATAAACAGGTCACTGGAACACAAGAGATTTTTTTCAGAGGCAGAGAAGAAAAGCCAAGCAATTCCCTCGCTGCGTGTGCTTCTGAGGACAAGTGAAGCACTGTTTCCCAGGGGTCCTATTCATCAGCCTCCTCCACGCTCAGCAGCCCAACTCTTCCTCTTTGTAATCAGTGGGATCCCACCGGGGAGAATATTGGGCCCTGATCAGGACATCAGGCTTATTAAGGACTAGCTGCAGGGGGGGGCGACCAAGGAGAGTTTCAGGAACATAAACGCTCCTCACATCAACTGCAAACATGCCACGTGCAGCCCACAGGCACAAGGCTGCGAGCCCAAGCAACAGCCTGCCTGCCCAAGATTCAACCAGTTGTGCAAGGCAAGCTCTCATCGAGCAGGCAGCAAGGCAAGAGAAGAGAGCAGCAAAGAGACGTGAAGGGGACAAGTCCCCACCGTCATCCCCTTGGTGCAAGAAGGGGACAAGTCCCCACCGCGACCCCTCGGTGCAACCTACCCCCAGCAGGACAGCTCTGGCTGTAACAGGTCCGCAGATCACAGGACTAAGAGACCCAGTCATTCCCAGCTGGAATGCAAGGGCCTTACCTGAGAATTTGGCAAGCAAGGGGAAGCAGTTAAAGGAGTCTGAACTTAATTTACTTCCCAAGTCATTTCTGCTCCGTTACAGGAAGCATTCCTAAAGGCTTGATACAATAAAGTACCAAATTGAAATTAGAAGGCATTGAGTAGCCCTGAGAGAAGGGAGACCCTGACATATCCCTTCAGCAACAGTTCGGCTTAAGGTCCAGCAGCACAGAACTGGACTGTCTCAAGACGTTGTCTCCAGCACCATCCTCCCTAGTCTTGCATCTGATTTCTCTCCATCTTTAGCCAGCCTCCCAAATGAGAGACAACACCAAGAAAGATGCAGACCAGCATATTTAATCCCCATACCTAACGGGTACACTGCAAGCAGGAAGCAGCTAGCTACCTACTCAGGGCTAAGGCAAGAATCTATTAGAGAAATGAATGTAATGTGATCCCGCCTGGGGCTCAAAGACAATCCCAGAAGGATAAACGGAGCAAGTGAGCAGAGCAGACAAGGGTAAGAAGCTCTCTCAAACAGCCCGATGGCTCCAAGAGCTCCTGTAACTATAGCGCAAGCCTGGTAACTAGGTCACAGTTATGATCCTTAATTAATCCTGAAGAGACCCCATCTGCTCTGTGAAATGTGACAGATAAGGTAGCTCATTAAACCCACAGACAGGCCAGGGGTAATGCCAACCCTAGCCCAGCCCATGGAGGTGCTGGGACAAGATCCCATCTGGCAATGGCGGCTGCTTTCCCCAGCCTGCTCTCTGCCAGGCTCTCTTAGCCAGCAGATGCACCAGGCTCTCCTCATCTCCTCCACAGTCTCCTCCACAGAAGAGGCAGCTCAGAGCCAGTTCAGAAGCCACTGCCCAAACCATACCAACATAAAGCCATAAAACAAGAGAGATCGCAGACAGAAAACAGCCCAGGGGCAGACAGGAAGGGTTGGGGCTCCAAGAGGAACCCCAGCTCGCAGTGTTGCACTCGCCCCATGACCCACTTCTCCCCCACACCCTTCTGGGCTGGGGTGTACTACCCCAAGTAACCGCTTCCCCCGACAGCTCTGGCAGAAGCTAACAAATACCAGCTTCTCCAAACGCACACGGCCTCAACCTGAACAGGGGTTTAAATTAACACACTGGGCTCGCAGCCACAAGCCCTGAGCAACGGGCACTACACAGGAGTACAGGGGTCAGCAGAGAAAAGGGCACCACACTGCAGCAGAACTCGAGAGGTTATGTGCTAGGCAGGCCTGCTTGTTCACTTGGCAAAACCACCTGCCCCTGACCATGACCACGACAGCAGAGTCCATCTGACACAACGGGTGGCAGAGACTGGCCAAGTGCAAGTGCATGGCTGTCTCTTGGGAGGAAAGCCTAAGTAGCTTGTGATCTGCTCCGCCTCCAGAGCTTACCGTGCATTGCATCTACACCTGATCACTATGAACATCTTGATCTGCTTACATCTGCTGGTTGCAGGGAGATGAGCCGAGATAATGCTGATTGAGTTTTCAAGCCCTGCTTCTCCCACTGAGCAATTAAAAAGCAGTCACCATCAGCAAAGACAGTAAAACCAAAGAAGGCTCCTGAGAACTTAACACAGGACAGGAGCATCAAAAACAATGGTTTCAATGGAGGAACATGCGACTAATAAGCCCGACACTGACAGCAGTTGGGAGATGGGGGCAGTTTAGTACTGAAATCATGTCTCCAGAGCGCCTTGTTAATGGATCACTAGCACTACCACCCCAAAAAGCACTCTAATCAGCATCCTCGCACAACTGACAACACACCAAGCTGAATGAAATATATTAAAGCTTATCACCATTCGAAAACAGTCATACAGGTGACTTGGAGCAGTCTGCAACCCAGAGGTTCCCAAGGGAATCCAGAGGGTTTACCCCCTTTGCTCACCTGCAGAGGAACAGCACACTGGCTTGTCAGGCCAAGTACCGGCTTCCCCTTTCCCTCCTCCAGCCAAAGTGCAATTCCAGGCACTATGCAAACCCTGAAGAGCCTTCTCAATTTCAATACAAAACAGCACGCGATCCAGGGAACTGGCTCACCTCTGTTAGTTGCTGGCTCCTGTTCCGTGGCCGAAGCGGCGACTGTCTCCGCCTGTCTCCACACAGGTACCCCATCCTCTGCCACGGGGTCTCGTTCCTGCAGCAGGTTGGACAAGATGAACATCTGCTTCACATCTTCGAGCCTGGCCTAGTAAGTCTGTGTTGGTAACTGCCCAGGCTGCCCAGCATGGCACCTCTCCCTGCCACTCACACACTGCCACTTCCCAATTCTCCATCCCAGATCAGCTGCAGCGGGAACTCAGGCAATTGCTAACGTGAGCTAGAGGACACACCTTTCAAAATCAGAACCAAGTCTAGCCCTAGCACAGGCAAAGTTACTTCTTCCAAGACATCGTCACCTTGTGAAATACAATTTTGCAAAAATGCCCTACCTCACACCAGCCCAGATATAGAGTTTGCTCAACACAGTCACATCAGAGGCAGAAGAATTAACCTTTAAGTAATGAATGGGCTGTGAAAAAACTTGCCAACAAGACAACCCAGCTGCCTCTCTATTTATTAGATATTGAAATAATTCATGCCAGTTGTGCTTTACTTGCAGGCTTCAAGGCGCCAAACAACAGAAATACAAAACTTATCAGGGCTTTCGGGGAAACAGTTCAGCCACTGCTTAAACCCTAACCTCTCAGTAACAGAACAGCCTCATGCAGTGGAGTTAAACTGAAAGTTTGCTTGGTCAGCTGATTGCTAGAGAGAGCAATCTGTTACCCCTCAGCCCAAATTCTCTCCATGTGTAGAGGCATCAAACCTCCCCATCATTCTCATGTGGTTCAGTGCTCTCTCCCTTTCCGAGCCAGGGGAGAGGGTACTCTGATCAATCGGCCTTTTATCAGTGCTAAGAGCTGGGTGTCCTAGGAGAAGTCGCCTGTCCTAATACTGGACTTTAAAAAAATAAAGCCACTATAATAAACTCCACACTGGAAACAAGATGCAGCTTTTTAAGAACATGAACTCCAGTTTGTTCTTTCAAGTTAAACTTCCAAGCAGAGAGAGAGACTTGTTAAGACTAGAAACCTTTAAAAGTCAACCTTAAAAAAAAAGAATCACAACAACTACACTCTAGTTACACTAGAAGATTTTGGAATGGCTTACAGGAATTGTTGGGCGAAATGCTGTAACTTGCAAGTCTCAAGAGACTAGATTTTTCTAATGGATATAAAAGCTCCCTAAAACGGGCAGAGCTCTATCTAGAACCTCAGCGTACACACGGCAAACTGACTATCCGCACCTTACACTAAGCCAGCAACACATCTAGCCCTCTCCTCTCCCTTTGTCTTCCCTTGCAACCAACGTAACGTGAGAAACCAGATATGGAAATAAAGAGAATGACTTATGCCTGCCCCTTTTATTTTTTGCTGTTTCAGTCTTAATTTCTCCACTGACCCCTTTTAACTCTTTTGCTCCGCAATGTTTTCACTTCCAACACTTTCTAGGAGATTCCATGGAATCAGCTTTCTTCTTCACCCAGGGCTGGAGCAACATGTGATTTCATGAGAAAGTATATGCATCTCACCTGATACTAAGTGGAGGGTTTCCTTAAATAAGGCATTAGAGACTCCAGGTTCTTTATCAGATGTCTCCTAGAGATACAACAGCAACACATTAAACCGTTTCCAATTCGTTCCCACCACCCTAAGCCAACAACTGACTAAACTAGGTTTGCTCAATACACCAAGACAGAGACTTTAAAATCTTCCCCTTCTGGGCCCTCCAGTACTGTAGATTAGAACTGGAACATTGTTCAAAGCAGCTGGAAAACTGTCAGGTCAAACAAACTGCATCGAGAACAGGGTCACAGTACCCTAGGATCCTCCCACCCCCAGCTGTCCTGGCTGGTGCTCATTCATACTCCTCCCAGGGCTGCCCGTGCTGGTTGGCAAGCAGGGTGGCCCAGGAGCCTTGAGACCAGAGCCCAAGCTTTGCTAGTCTTAGGCTGTGTTTGTAAAAAGCGTGGACGGAGCATTTGCTAGCTTTTCCGAGAGTTCAGTACAAAGGCAAACTAGGAGTTATCATGTCCCAGTACCGTTCCAAGAAACCTGAATATGTTGCAGAGTTTCTCTGGTCTGCATCTCTTAAGTTCATATTTGGAGATATGATGTACTGATTTCCTGCTTAATATTTAAGCACTGGCCCCTTCTCTGCTGCCACTGACACTCTTCTCATTTTAATGCCTTACCACTGTCCCTCTAACTTGATCTGTAATCTCTGGAGCATGAGAAGAAACAGGTCTTCTGCCTCAAAGGTTAAGCAGCACGAGCTAAAGCAAAATAGCCCAGCAAGCCCCATCGGCAGGAGGAAGCAATGCTGAGTCTAGGAGATGGAAAGATTTGCAGTGGAAGGGACTGGACCACCAGGGAGCCTGTAGCTCATCCTTCCAGCTGTCTGCCACGGCACATAGGCCATGGAGTTACTCAGCCCCTCTCTGCTGCTTGGCCACTTCTCTCTCACCCTTTGGATTATTTCTTCCAAGGAGCTATATAACTAGTTCTTTAACTATAAAGCTTCCCTGACCGTTGACAGAAACGGTAAGAGATCAAAACTCTGATTTACACTTCCCTCTGTTTTTTGCTTGCTTTCTCCAAGAGAGTTCTTAGGACCCTTTCAAGGAAAGCAACGTCTAATGCTGTACAACAGCTGGATAAGCAGCAAAGACTCCTATGGCTTCAGTGGCTACTGGTTCCCGAGGTAACACCCACCAAGAAATTCATGGTTTGGGTCTAGGAAGGAGAGGGATTTTTCCCCCAGCTTCTCCTGTTGTCAGCAGACATTTTATTCTGAAATAATTTTTCCTTCACTTCAGTGAGAGATTATTGAGTCTTACAGAAGATGTTAAAATACTGTATGCAAGAACAAGACTTTGCTAAAACAAACCACAACAACTAGCCTTGCTTATAGTTGTACTGTACCTACAACAGGCCTTTTTTAGGTGACAGCTTTTTGGAACCCCAGCATTTTCATCCGCCCAGACGTCAGCAGCAGCTAGACCTTCCCAGGATTCCTTTCTCCTTATTTCCTGGCTGAAAAGGCAATCTTATCTGTATTACTCCACCTGGAAAAAGAAAGATAGCGTCTATATCTGCAGGAAACAGAATAGCACCGATTAAAACCCGGTCAAGTCTAAGAATCTCCATTTTGACAAAACTATTCCAATTCATACAAAGGATTTAGCTTATCCTGTAAAACTGTTTGCGGGGCGGTGACTGGGGAGGAATGAGAGCACCTGAACGTGCTATTGCCTTGTAAGGTGTCTGCGTGAGGCCCATGGAACAGGTATATAAGGCAGGGATATGATTTTTACAGGGTGGGAGCAACAGAAACAGGTATGTCCTTGATTTCCAACAAGCTTCTGATTGACAGAACTAAGTCGTTAACATGGCAGTGCTTTAAAAAGAGACAGCCAACGGGCCCCATCACATTAAACTCCTACAAGCCCGAAATTCCTCCAGCGTCTTGCATTTTCCACAGCTCGTGTGTCGATTTCTTGTTTTCAAGGACTTCTACAATCCTGTCTCTGCTCTGGCTTCCATCTTCCTGTCAACACCCAAACTCAAGCATGTCTGAGGAGCTTTGGTAGTTGACCAGAACCACCTGGTGTAGCAAAGATGCTTTACTGTGTAAACATGACTCGAGTTTCCCTCTGGGCCATTCATTCGGACAGCAGAATGACATGCACTTCTTTCTCTCTTCAGTCAACTGTCCACCCTATTTAGAGAGGAGCAGGCTATTTACTTAAGAATAAAGTAAATTATTGGAGCTTTAATTGCTTTCTGAAACTCCAGCTACAGAGACCTTAATTTAGGAGCTAAGTCCTCTCCCCACCCTCTCACCCCTTTGTACAAGAAATACTCAGATTCACTCTTTGGAAAAATACTTTTCCTCTCTGCTAGCTACAGAGAGAGTTCAAGCTCCTCAGCTGGATGTAGAAGGTGATATCTCTGCCTAAGGAGCTAACGAGGAAGGAGGAGGACTGAAAGATGCAAGAAAAATGACGGCTTGAAGTCCACGATAATCCTAACAAAAATATACTGGTTGGACCCTACTGGTCCTTTCTAAGAGAAAGACGAAAGGAACGTGAGAGGAACAAACAAGGGTGTGATTGCAAATCACTGTACGTGAAACAAAGCTAACGTTAGCTGGAAGGATTCTTGTATCAGTTCCTGCAACATACCGCACACAGCAAGACAAACTTGAGGATGCCAAATGAAAGACAGTGCTGTATGATTTCCAACTCTGAAGCAACTTGAGGAAAGTCAAGGAGACATTCTGCAATTAAGATAAACCACTGCTGGCTACTGAAAGTTGCAGCAGCCCTAATGTGGGAGTAGTGCCTTGCAGCAGAAGGGCAGGGTGCCTGTATTAGGGTGGCAACAGCTTCTCCTGTCTCACCTGAACATGAGTCAGACTGAAATAAAGGGGTTTGCCAAGCTACAGAAGTCCTCTGCATCTGGGCCTCAGCAGGCAGGTAAGAAGGATCCTGACCCAACGCGCTTGTGAGGACCTACAGGCAGCCCATAAGTTTTCAAAGGCATCCACTGCACTGGGGAGAAAATCAATTTGGCACTTGTTTGCATGACCCTGGGTAAGGAGCTTGCTCCCTTGGTGGCTCAAAAAGGGGGGTGCAGCTCACGCACTTTCCGACAGATATCCCATGCCTCAACACTCAGCACCTCTTCCAGCTTGACTGAAAACCCAGCAGACTGGGGTCACAGAGAGAAAGGAGGTTCCCTCTTTTGTCAAGTAAGGAAAACATGGAGAGCATTCTATCCAAATGAGGAAGAGATGGGGGAAAAAATACTAAAGAAATGCAACATGGGAGGAATTTTCACTATGCTACTACTCTTACAACCCTTGAATTTTGCCTTAAAAGGTAAACAGCTCTCTAAGAACTGCTAGTCTCAGCACTGGAAGTGGAAATTCTTAGACCCAAGCCTGGAATTTGAGTCTGGATTAAATCCAGATGTCAGGATCACATCCACTCCTTTGGAAAACTCTGATCTCAATATAGGAAGAGATGGGGGGGGGCGGCGAGGAGGACTGTTTTTCTGTCTTGCCCTTTTGTGACACTGAATGGGTGGGAAAAATGAGAAATGCGTGCAGCCTCTGATTTGGGAAGCGGGCAAGAGGGATTAAGCTTTGCTAATGGTACAGTTACATGTTTTCCTTTGGATAACCTGGGTGCAGAGGGGCTTTACTCTTGCTTTTCTCCTGAAGAATCTAAAGGCTTCTTTACAGATCAAAAAATCCAATTCAAATTCAAACAGAGGAACTAATTGCTGACAGATGTGAGACTGGATTAAAGTTACAAATTGCTGGTCAAGTTCTGTTTCTAGGAATATTAGGAAAACTTGTTAGAGAGGAGAGGGACAGAAGGGAATTATTTTCATGGCAATTCCCAGCTCAGCCTGTATAGTAAACCAATCACATAGAAAGAGACCATCTTTAGCAGCAACTTTTCATGGACATCTGCAGAAATCAACTTGACCTTGTGGCAGGGGTTTTTTTGTTTTTTTTTCCTTCCCTTTAGACTTCTATCTGGGAACCACTTTCTACTGCTTCTCATCCACCTCCCAGATTGCTGGAATTTAACCTTTTTTCTCCTCTTGCAACTCATTTAGCAAACAAATGGACAAATCATCAGAACAGAATGGGCTTTAGAAAACAAAAAAAAAAAATCAGCAGAGACGCTCTGGGTAACTGAGCCCCTACCACTACATCCCATGAGCCTTTCAGGCAGATAGAGCTTCCCTTGCAAAAAGCCAGCTGGTATTCATAGTCTCAGTGGCTCTTACCAGAAGGCTGTTCCAAAACAGTTACAGCCAGGAACCACCCAAATTCCAACCTACACTTCTTCACGGCCAGCAGAGTAAGCGTTTGGTCTCACATCGAGGTCATCCCCGCAGCCTAAACCGTTTTTCCTTCTTTGGTACATGCTACTCCACCTTTTATGCATTCACAGGCAGCGACCCGTTTCTCCCATGCCCACCAGTGGCCTCCTGACAGGCTGCGTATGCCTAGTTTTCCCTCTTGGGATGAGCTTCCTGTTCCCCGCTTGGCTACTACGGTACCATCCCATGCGTCTCTGTCTGAAATCCTCTTCCTGGAGTGCGGCAACCAGCTTTTGCATGGCACTCCAGCTAGTTTCTCCTGAGCCTTGGAGGATGAGGGTAATACAGCCCCACAATTAAAATCTTTAAATACCATTTAATTGATCCACTAAAGCCCTAAGAAACTTTAATTAACGATAGCTTTATTAGCATTTACTTCATCTTCACTACCTAAAACTCCCAAAGTGAGTGAACTGGCAGAGCAGTAGAGAAGACACCCTTTCCCCCTAATTTTACCACTATTTTTTCAGCACTTTATTGGACCTAGAGCTCACAACCATCTCTGTGCACTGACGGTGACGTTCTCCTTTGGCAGCTCCCCAAGATAAGGGTCAAGTTTATGTCATTTCATTGCTATTTAGCTCTGCACAACTTCTGTCATGTACAAGGTTAAATAAATTCACCAGAAACAAGCTCGAAAACAGTGTTATGATGGGGTCTGATTAACACCACAGAGCCTAAGCAAGTTTGACAGGAGAGCTCAGGGTTCGGCACCGTTTGGAGATCTCACCATCTTAGCCAAGGTCACTTTGTCTCAGCTTCCAACCTTGAGTCATGTTTGGGTAACAAGCTGATGCTCTTCAGGCTCATTTACTGACCAGACTTGACATGGGCACTTCTAATTCTAAAAGCACAAGTTTCTGTATTCCAGCAACAGAGCAGGCTAACGCACTTCATCCCCCAACCTTGCAACATAATAAGATGCTGCTACTAAGATTAGGACAACGAAGCATTATCAGATTTCTGCGGGCTTGAACCTGCTGCGGCAGGTGTCCATACAGACAAGCTTTACAGTCTGTTGCGCTACTCGGCCAACGTACTTGTCAAACCCCTTTCTCTAGGGCGGGCTGTTGTTCATGAAGTATTTCTTCCGCCCCTCTTGAATTAAGTAGCACGGTCACAGAATACAAGAAGAAGGGGAGAAGAAGGAAAGATGCCATCAACACACTATAAATCAGGCATACAGGACTCAGTTTCTGGTGTTAAAACTGAAATTAATCCAAAGAACACCGCAATGATCCCTTAGGTTCAGGAACCTAACTCTGCTCTGATGATATTCACCAGATATCTGCACAGCAGAATTTAGTAGTCTGTTTCCTCATTTTTAAAAATAACTGATGTGGGCAACAGCTTGAGGGTAGAGAGTCAGATGTTCGATGTGGGAAGGGAGAGCAGTCATCCAAACACACATCAGGCATCTTTAAACTTTTTTTTAATAGCTTATTCACTATTATGTTTTGCAAAACATAAGTACTTGCCGCGTGTAGCACTAACTGAAAGCCAGCTATGAAGAAAGAGCTCTCTTCGTGAACAAACTCAGCTAAGAACTTGAAGCACCGTCCTGGTATTGCCAAGCACCCAAGACTGTTGTTATCGCAACCGCTGTACGGGCTTGGATCGAATACCGTACCCTCAGCTTAATCATTTATTTACAGAACAAAATAAAACTGGCACACACGCAGTTTAATGATATCCACTTAAAAAAAAAAAGCTGTGTACGTTAATGGTAACTTCTGCACTATGTTGCTGAAATAACGAGTCGAATTGTTTAAGCTTTGAATATTAAGACTCACAAGTCAACGCCGTGCTAAATTTCTAATAAGCAAGCAAACTGTGCTTAAAACACTCTCTAGCCCTATTAAAACCCAAATATCCCATGCCTCTACCGTGTAAAGCCCCATTTGACTGTTATTAGGGCTCCACGAGGAACAAGCGAGGCCAGAACGCTGTCCGGTTCCCTAAGCGGGAGCTGAACGGCACGCGGAAGCTGACAGCGACTCTGCTGTTTAACGGGGGGTTTGAAAAGCTCGACCTCCTCGGGGGTCTGCTTATCCAGACCGCCAACTTCACGTGCTGCCACCAGCATCTTCAAACACGGTGACAGAGGCGGGATCAGGCAATTACGGATTAATTCGTAACGTGTAAACATTGACCGATACCTTCCTAGCGCCTTGCGCAGCCAAACTCAGGAGCTCAGCAGCCACAGGTCTAGACAGGCTCTGCTCTTCCCCAGCCACTACCGTAAGAGTGCCTCCCAGCACCTCGACCGCTCGGTGAGACGCGAGGTGTCAGTCGAGAGGGAACTTTCGAAAGAGCGCTCCTCCTAAAACCCCACACCTGTTACTCAATAAAAAAAGTACAGCTATCTTATAAACCAGCCAAAAGGTGGCTTTTGCCTGGGGGAAGGGGTGGGGTGAGGATGAGCGAGGCGGTACTCTGCGCGAGCCCGAAATCAGTGTTTTACAAGAAGAGGAAGAAAAAAACCCGTCACCTTCCCTCCCCTGGCCCTTTCGGCGCTCGGGGGGGTAGCGGCAGCTCGCAGAGCGCTGCCGAC